GAGATTTTTAGTGTTTTTATAAAATTTGTGGAATTCCACTGCCCAAAACTGAAAATATGCAGTAGTAGCCTTTTCCCACCAGATGTTCTTTGCACAAACTGTATTAGAGTCAGAGGCAGACCCAGGGGTAATGGAAAAGAATCAGTATTGTGTCTGGTAGCACTTACAGAGGAGTAGAAAAATGAGGAGGGAATATGGAAACTTAGTCATTTACCAAACTTTGACAGAGGAGAGACCAGCAGTTGAAAGAATAATAAGTACAAAGTGTATTAAGTTCTGCAGAAGATAAGGAATGGAAATACCTTTGTTTTGAGAGCAAATACAAACAATATGAGCACAGCACTGGGAATTATAAGGATATGTATTTATGTCACTGTAGCAGGATATACATCTTGGGGCACAAACTTGCTTATTAGTAGTGACATGAATTTGAATCTTCTCCAAAAGCTTTCCAAAAGAGTCCAAGAAGTGATAAACATGATAATAAAGAGATGAATTAGCGTCCATTTCAGATTCAAAGTAGACAGATCTTTGAGTCTGATTTGGCAAGAATTATTTTTATTATTTTACTAATTAAAACATTACTATAGTGATAAATGGAACATGGAGGAGATATAAAATACATAAAATAAAGAATATCTATTACAATGAAAACTCAACAGTATCACTATTAAGATATTAATAGTGTATTATTTTTCTTTTTTCTATCTATATATAAATTCTATGAAAATGAATACATTTTTATTATAGCATTTTTATTCATTTTGCAATTACTCATGAACATTTTCCTATTTCAAAGTATGTTTTATCTATAAGCATAATTCTTAGTGGCCCCACTGTATTCCATTGTAAAGATATGCCATAATTCACTTAACCAATCCTCTATTATTGGACATTTCAGTTGTGTCCAATGTTTTAACCATAAAAAAATACTTTAACAGTGTGCCTGGCTGTATCAGTCAGTAGAGCATGCAACTCTTGATCTCAGGGTCATGAGTTGAAGCTCCATGTTGGGTGTACAGCTTATTTACAACAATTTTTTAATTAAAAAATAACATTAAAAATCCTTTAACAATAAACACTTTTACAACTAAACCTTCATGCATGTCCTCAATTATTTTCTCATGGTAAATTGTTAGCAGTAGAATCGCTTAGTCTGAGATTATGTCTAAGGCTTTTAATACATGATAGCACACTGCCCTCTGGACAGGGTGTTACAGCAGTGTATGGATAATTCCCTTCGACAATATTAGGTTTTAGAGTTTTATTTTTATTTTTTTAAAGATTTTATTTATTTATTCACGAGAGACACACACACAGAGAGAGAGAGAGAGAGAGAGAGAGAGAGAGAGAGAGAGGCAGAGACACAGGCAGAGGGAGAAGCAGGCTCCACGCAGGGAGCCTGATGTGGGACTCGATTCCAGGCCTCCAGGATCACGCCCTGGACTGAAGGCGGCGCTAAACCGCTAAGCCACCGGGGCTGCTGGTTTTAGAGTTTTTAATTAACATAACTATCTTAAAAGGAAAAATCATCAAAACAGTATTATTATTATTATACTTCTTCAAAATCATTTTGTATATATAAGTTTATTGGTTTGCTAACTAGGTCATTCCACAACAAGTACTGGGGCTGTACCAAGTGCCAAGAATTAAGCTACGAGATGCTGGGGATACACAGGGGAGGAAGGCCCAGCTAATGCCCTTGAAGATTTTATAGTTTCCTGTGCAAATGGGGTATGTAATGGAAACAATCCCAGAAGATGAGATGGATGTTAGAGAAAGGAACTCCTGACTCCTCAGTGTCAGCTAAAAGAGTCACCACACAGAAGTCATATGAGTTGTATCTGAGGTGTATCTGTACCACCACAGAAGGGTGGTAGCCTACTATCGTCCTGCCATCAGATGTCAAAGCAAAGCTCTACTTTGCAATCATAGTTATCTGGTAGAGGAGAATATGTGGATTTATGACAAACACAATATACAGCTCCATTTTGAATTGGAAATAAATGTTTCTGGATAGTTCTGTTTGATAGTGCCCATTTTACTGCTGCTAATGCCATGGTGAATCAGGATGCTTAGCAGGTGGTGTGAAAGAAGATGATTTGAAGAGAAACTGATTTTAAAATCTGCTTCCATGCATACCTATCTTCATCCCTGACAGCCACTCACCACGAGCCCGCCATTTTACCTTCTGATTACAGGATTTTACGCAGAGGACTGGCATGATCCACTCTGTATTTTAGAAATGTATGTATTCAGAAATACATGAATAAAGTGATCACAGGACATTCTTGGGCCAAGTGTACCACCCTATGGAGGACCTCACCTGACCCCAGGATGGGAAAACAGTGGCATTAGCACACTCTCCTTTGTTGATATTGTTTAACAGAGGCTGAGGAGAACAGCAGTCTTCTAACCATTAGGGTATCACATCCACAATTCACAGCATCACAGACCTGGAAGTCCCCTTCAACTCTATCTGGTCCTAAACTCATTTTCACAGGTGAGAGTGCCTGGAAGCAACTTGCCAAAGGTCACACATGTGACGCCAACCCACTTTTACTGGGAATGTGCTTACAAAGTGTTATTTTATTTTATTTATTTATTATTTATTTATTTATGAGAGATAGAGAGAGAGGGAAAGGGAGGCAGAGACACAGGCAGAAGGAGAAGCAGGCACACAAGGAGCTCGATGTGGGACTCAATCCCAGGACGCAGATGTCCAACCACCCAGGCGTCCCACAAAGTGCTATTTTATAGTATGAGATTCCTTAATTGAAAAAAAAAATGTTCCTATGAATTTCAAAACCATTAATTGATATGGTTTAATGACATTTATTCCTTAACAATGACAAGCAAAAATTCAAAATAGCACTTAAAATAGTTTGGAGAATTGCCAAATAGTGTAATGGAAAGTAACTTCCATTTTTAAAACAAACTAACAACAACAATAAAACCCTTTAAACTTCAAAATAAATGAATATAATCCGGCTTAGAATAAATCTTATTTTTCAATTTTGCTCGTTGATTAGCATTCCTTAGGTCAATCTTATATTTGACAAACCATGGCACATTGTCATTTGGAAATGTTTCTTATACTTAACCGCATACATATCTACTGGTCTTCCATTTCCCTTTAAAGCAGTTTCTATTTCCTGGAACTATATCACATATTCTAGCCAGTGGAGTTAAAAAAAAAAAAAAAAAACCTGCTTTCAAAACTCTAATCACTCCTCACCTTGTCCTTTTTTCCTTTTGCTCAAAATATATGCCAGAAAACTACTCACTCTCACCTGCCTTCAGCCCCCCATTAATCAGTGTTTCTCTTTTCCAAGTGACTCAATCTAAGACAATTAATCAGACTACCTGCAACATCTTCCTAGTACCACATAGCCAGGAATAATTTATACTAATAGGTTTAATTGAAGTGTCAGTTGCAAGATGTCAAATGAGCAAATATCAACATATTAAATGTTTTCTCCTTTGAACATGATTTCTCTGTATCAGTGACTTTCTGAAGGGAGATGCCTGTTCTCTTGGCCCTCTCTGGCAGTGTAAATTAATACCAAAAGCCTATGCCATGGTCACTTACAAACCACAAGACACTTTAATCCTATTTGCCTGGATATCATGGCTGATCATATGAGTACCACCACAGGCAAAGAGGAAGCTCTTGGTCAGGGCTCGAAAGCATTGTTGAAAGAGCCACAGCTTCCGGTCACTGGAGTGTGAATGTAAGCAGGAATGGGGCGCCATTCTACCCCTCTGATATCCAATGCCACTCTGCGTGTTATCCCCAGCCAAAGCTGGGCTCCCAGGAGCCCAGTAAAAGGAGAGGATGAGATATCCTTCTCTGCTCACTTGTTTTAAGCCTCCTCACCATTCAACTCAAAGGCCACTTCCTCCAGGGTGATCTTTGACCCCACTTTGAATTATATCTTCCAGGGCCTGCTAATCATTCTAGCCTCTCCATCTGGCCACAGTGATTGGTCCCAGGGGTAAGCTGCATTGCCTGAACCTGAAGCAGTAAGTCGTCCACTGAACTTTATAGCAGATGCTACATTCTTCTAGGACTTTCCTCTAGTAGGGCTAGAAGTCCTACTTCCCTGTAGAAGGGCTACACAGGGCTACACAGGGCTACATGGCCTATGGCCATGCTTCCTAGTTCAATTTTTTCCTTCCATCACATGCCACATGCAAATCCCAAATCCTCCTTATAAGACTCATCTGCAAGGTAGAATGAAGCCAGAATAGAGAAGAGAGAGAGAAAAAAAAAAAAATCCACCACTGATGGTGCTCTGCCTTTGAAATATCCAGCTGAGGAGGAGTGGGTAGGCACCAAAATCTAGCCTATGCTCTGCTCACCAGAGGAAAGGACACACACACCACCACCACCCTTTTTTTTTTCCAGACAAACCTGTCTGCTCACCAAGCCTTCTTGTAAGACACACAAAGCAGCTGCATGTGCTACAAAGGGATGTGTGATAAGATCACCAGAACCTCCAGAATCTGCCCATCCTTCCTGCCACATTCTTTTTTCACTTACCCTTGCCTCAGTGGATTCTTATCACTTGTCACCAAAGAATTCCTGATCAATACAGCAGACCAGATATCCGGATCGCTCTGAGTGAAATGCCACGTTCGTTCTAGCCTAAACCTCCTGTTGGCTGTTGTCTTTGGACTCTTGCTTTCATTCTCCAAGTCCTTACAACTCCCTAATTAGGAATGACTAACTAATAGTCTTCCTTTTCTTTCTCAGAGACATAGATAATATAACAAAGAAACCAAGTTCAACCTAACAATGTTGCTGCTTTTGTTGTGAATATGATGAGTTATGATCTCATTCCCAACCTTTTCAGTAACTCTTCCCCTGTCAAGACCAGCAGCAGAGAATGCTGTGCAAACACTGGCTGCTCTTGCCTGGTCTGCAAAAGAGCCGTTGCAAATCTTAAATCCTGGTGTGTGGTGCTGTGTTTCGTGTGTAAGGAATGATTACTCACCCTCTTTGGTGTCTATCCAGCTCATGGAGAACTGTGTGGTCACAGTACTCAAACACCAGGTGAAGCTTCCGCTTCCTTCTGAAGACTTCGAGAAGGTTCACGAGGTTGGGATGTTTGAGTTGCTGAAAATACAAAAAACAAGATGCTAAGCTGAGGCTGTGAAGGCTGGCTTTCTCTGATTCTGATCCAAGAAAAAGAGGGCTGTTCGTCCTTTAGGGAGTTTCTTGCCTTGGGTTGAAGGAGACTTAGACAATGATAATACTTCTCTTAAGGAGCTGCTCATTAGCAGCTTATAAATGACGACAGCTTCACCAAGACGGATGGTGAAGGCAAAGAGAGAGATAAGAAGTCCGGAAACAGGGTGATTTTTAGTTAATGCAAACTTATCCTGTAAGGCTCAGATCAAATGTCCCTTCCTAAGGAGGTGTCCCCAAATCTCCCCTGACTGGTTCGGCGTCCCTGCCAGCCTCATAGCCCCCCTGAAAGATGTCTCCTTGGTGATCCTTTAGAATTACTAAGTAATAGTTCATTTGACTGTTCAATGTCCTCTGCTATCAACAGATACAATAGATACAATTCACTGAAAATAAGTATCATGACCTCAAGATTCTCTTGTTTTCTCAAAATGATGTGGCTGAAGTCCCAGCATGGGGCCTCACACATAACAGACATTCGATAATGATTTCTGAATGAATGAGTAAATCATGTGTCCTAGGTTGATGAAACACTTTAAAACAGAAGAATGAGGGGACACCCAGGTGGCTCAGTGGTTGAGTGTCTGCGTTTGGCTGGGGTTGTGATCCCGGGGTCCTGGGATTGAGTCCTGCATCGGGCTCCCTGCAAGGAGCCTGCTTCTCCCTCTGCCTATGTCTCTGCCTCTCTCCCTGTGTCTCTCATAAATAAATAAATAAAATCTTTAAAAAACAACAATAGAAGAATGAGGAAGACTGTAATCTTATATGCCTGAAGGTGTATATCTAGAGAAAAAAAAAGGGGGTCAGGAATCAATCTTGTGTTGCCAAGGATAAATCTTGTAGTTAGCTTCCTGGACCCTTCTGTCCATAATCCTATCAGAAGGACAATTAGGCAAATGAATTATAGAGAGGAGAGTCAAAATGATTAACTTCCTTCAGGGTGTGAAGGCCTTCAGGCAGCAGTTTAAGAAACAAAAGAGGAAGCCGTAAAGTTTCTTAAGACCTAGTCTCAGAAGCCAGATGACACTACTGCTGCCTCAATTCTAGCAGTCAAAGCAAAGCACAAGACACCCCCTGGCCCCAGATTCAGCCCTGAAGAAGCCCAGGATGAAGTACCTGAAGAGGAGGGAGGCCCAGGTATCCTAGCTGAGCTCAGCCCCCAGCCAACTCCCACCTATACTCAGCTGTAAGAATGAACCCAGGCAAGACAAGCTGAAGGAACACTCCACTGAGCCACAGAATTGTGAGAAATAAAACATCATTCTTGTTTGGAGCTACTAAGTGTTGGGGAGGTTATGCAGCATCAGAGCAACAGATAACCTGTACTGGGTCACAAGGGAACTTCTAGAAACTACGGATGCCCATGCCCCATCCCCAGAAACCCTGAATTGGTCTTAGGTAGAGCCCAGGCCTCTGGCTTTTTCCTCAAAAATTCTCCAGATGATTCAATATGGAGCTGGAAGTATTAATCATGGACAAGCAGATACTTCATAAGTAGTAAAAGGTGGAAGGAAAAAAAGTGAAGATTCTGAACTACCTGCTGCTGCATCACATTTGTGCCGGCAATGAGAAGAGAAGTGGCCAGCAAGAAATACTAAATAAGACAGTTACTTTCTTGTTTTCTTTGTAAAATCCCTCTGTATCTTCAAGTTGTGAAATTCCTCCTCTAGATAGTACATATGATGAAACAAATATAAAACAGCCACGATACCCTAAGGGCTGTTAGTCACATGCGGGCTTTAGAACAGAGGGCACTCGAAGCTACAAACCCCACATTTATGTCATCGTACCTGGAAACTTTTAGCCTGAGCTAACATTTTCCAGAACAGTAGGATAGATTTGACCACTGTCTCAAACCAAAGAATTGCATCAGCTTAGATGTCTCAAACAGAAAGCAAAAAAACCAGTTCAAACAGGCTAAGTGGCAGCATGATGACAGAATCAACTAAAAGAGTTTTGCTTTCAGGCTGGGAAAAAATCATTGTCCATAGGTCCAGTCTTCAAATCTTAGATTCTTTAAAAAAATTTTTTTTTAAAAATATTTTATTTGAGAGATGGGAGTGTTGAGGGGGGTGGGAGTGTTGAGGGGGAGGGAGAAGCACACTGTCTGCTGAGCATGGAGCTGGACGTGTGGGACTCAGAGCTCGATCCCAGGACCCTGGGATCATGACCTGAACCAAAACCAGACACTTAACCAATTGAGTTACCCAGGCACCCCCAAATCTTAGATTCTTTTATTTTTCCATGTTCTATATGTAGTCCTCCCTTATATCTCTAGCCAACCTTTTAAGCACAACTACAAATATATCTATTAGTTGAATACCCAGACCTTCTCTGGATTCCAAGACTGGTACCTCCACCCTGTAACATCTGGATGTGCAGGGCACTGGTACCTCAGGGTAAAACCCAAAGGCCTTCTCAATTTGGACTCTGCTTCTGTCTCTAGTCTCATCTCTCATAACTTCCCATCAAATGCAGTGAATTTCTCTCAGTCCATTGAAGGCTATGCTCCCTCTCTTCTCAGGACCTGTTCACCTGATTGTCTCTCTGGAACACACCCTCATCTAGACGTCACTTTCTCTGTCCAGCCTCCTCTCCCTAGCTCTGCCACACCTAGCACGAACTAAAACAACTGTAGTGCTGGAACCCAAGCATGGATACCCCACAAAAGGTGAAGGGCACCATCACAACAGTATCCCCTGAACCAAGTGGGTCTGTGAATATACTACACCCATTTTTCTATTACTATTCACCTTTGGAAAACCTGACCGTAGTCACTGTAAGATATTCTCTTCAAATAACATGTAGATTTCTTTTCCAATTTGTGGCTGGTGTAAGTAAAATGTTGATGAACTACTTACTTGCTGGTTGACCTTAACTTTGAATAATGTTGGCCCTCCATTTCCATCCGCAGGAATAGGAAGCCAAAGGGCTGCCATGACAAGCCACATAAAGCATACTCAACAGCTTCAGGCACACAGCTCTTCATGAAGGATAACTGCTAATATTATTGGGAGGTAGATCTATTTTTATTTTCTCTATTCAGTGTATTCAACATTTACTTACTTATTTATTTTAATGTGCATAAAGTCCTAAGGGTATGGAGACAAATAAAGCAAGTCCCTGCCCCTACCCTCATGGAGCTTGGAACCTAAGAGGGAGAGTAGATATTGAACAAGTAATTACAGATATGATAAATGGTACCAAAAGCAAGTTAAAGGGTGCCTAGTTTGTGGATGGTGAGTGGCCCAGGGAAGATCTCCTTGAGGAAGTTAGGTAGATACCATCTAGAAGCACCAGAAATACAACTTTATGGCTCTAGAGATGGCCAAGTTGCTTTCCAAAAGGATCATTCATATTTACACCTGTGTCACGAGCATGAGAGTACTTTCACCATATCATGGCCAGCTCTGATGTTCATATAGACATTTAAGGTTTGTGATGTATATTGTCAAATCACTTCCAGCAACACGGTCGCATGACTTTTAAACTGCTTATCTCTCCTAACCCCCTCTAAGAGATAACTTGTATATAATCGAAAATGGCCAATCACTTATTATTCCACTTATTTTCAGAACAAATTTAATTGAGAAAAGCTGATCACTAAGACTAAATTCTAATTAGGATTTATAAATATTAAATTAGAAAAACCTTTAAATTAATTAGTCACTGCATCTAGGCTGCCAGAATTCTGAGTGAGCAGAACACATTCCAGAGTAGCAAATATCTGGAAGTCATTCCCTGTTCTGGCTAATGCTCAACAAAGATTTAACAAAGATCTACAGAGCACCTGCTCTGCCTCAGGTGCTATGCTAGGCTCTAGAGACACATTGGTGAATGGGGCAGAAGTCTCAGGCATTAAACAAAGGAGTGTCATGAAGAGCTCTGCATATAGAAGACATTGGGCTACCTCAGAGAAACTGTTCCTGAGGAAGTGGCCTTGAGCTGAGTCCTGGAGGGTGAGAAAGTCAGGAGTGGTGGGAGAGGTGGCTTTCCAGGTAGAAAGGGGAATTAGGCCACTTAAGGAACTGAAAGACAGTGTGGCTTGAGGGTCAAGCGCATGGAACTGAGGCCAGTCTGACAGAAGCTGAGTCCTGTAGGACCTTGAGGGCCATGCTAAGAAATTTACACTTTATCCTAAGTGTAATGAGAAGCTACTGGAAGGAATTTTAGCAAGATGTGATATGATAATACCATTTAGGTGTTTTGAAGCTCCCTAGAGTGGCCAGATACAGAATGGCTTGGAGGAGGCAATATGGTGAGAGAAGACCAGGGTAGACCCCATTGACAGCTGAGAGAAGATGGTGGCTTGAACCAGGCAGAGGCAGGAAGATGGTGAGAAAGGCACTGTTGGGAGACATGTTTTTGTTATTAGAATGTTCAGGGGGCGCCTGAATGTCTCAGTGGTTGAGTGGCTGCCTTTAGCTCAGGTCATGATCCCAGGATCCTGGCATCAAGTCCCTCATCAGGCTCCCTGCAGGGAGCCTGCTTCTCCCTCTATGTCTCTACCTCTCTCTGTCTCTCATGAATAAATAAATAAAAATCTCTTAAAAAAAGAATATTCAGGATGCAGTGATAGACTGGAGGTGAAGGAATAGGGAGAGGGAGGTATAACTACTGTTTTGGGCAGGTTGGCTTGGCAGGGACTCCGAGAGAACAAAGTAGAGTCGTCAGGTTGCCTGGAGTTGGAGCTGAAGATAAAAGCTGGGGAGTCAGCATGAGTGTAAGTGAAACCATGGGTAGATGCAATTTCCCAGTAGAGCAAGCAAGAAAGGAAGAGGACCGCAGAACCTCACTACCAGAGACGTGATGGTGGGTGAGGAGGAAGCAGAGAAGAAAGGGAAGAAAGTCCCCCAAGATAAGAGAGAGGACAGCAGAGCATAAGGGATGGCATATCATGGAAGGAGGAAGTGGCCCCAGTGAGGTGA